CTTGTTCCTTTTATTTGCTTTCCATGACTTCTTCATTCTCAATCTACTTCAGAAATCTTCTTAATTATTGCAGAAAATGGTTTTGATTTTGATTTTGATCATCATTTGCAGGAGAATGTAACCAGTCTTAAGCTACTCCCCAAAGTCACCGTGATGCATTTGTTTGATAAAGCTAATATACGTGCAGTCATAGTAAGCATCTAAAAACTAATCCACTTCTTCTTGTCTCTTTCAATAGTGATCATAACTCATTTTGCATTATAAATTTGGTAATTGATCATCTTTCTTGACACCTTTTCTTTGCAGATATCCGTTGGTCTAATGGCATTTCAGCAGTTTGTGGGAATTAATGGAATTGTTTATTACTCCAACTATATTTTCCAGTCGGCAGGTAAATACACGAATCTCCCTGTCATTCACCTGTTTTTATCGAATGCTTTTGTAGTTAACAAAGAAAGGGGATCAAAATTGATTGTCAACTTCTGAATATACGATGCATCTTTTATACTTCCGTACATTACTAGTTCCATACATATACTATAGTCTATATTGATGATCACAAAGATTAGTTAGCAATGATCAGCCTTAAGGCGGTCATTTGTACTAATTCCTGAGCATGCAGCTGCTAACTATTGAGTTCATTTAACTATATATTTTCTTTGACATATCAGGCTACAATCCCACCGTTGGAAGTATACTTTTTGCGGTTATACAGGTTTCATTTCTCTGCCTCTTATTTTCGCAAGATTGAATTTCACAAACTGATAGTTTAGAAGTTTTTCCACACGAGCATGTATATATAGATGCATGTTACATGCACGAGGAAGGAATTGCATGTATGAGTCGAGATAGGGTATCATGAATCTAAAGCATGATTGTGTATCTAGGTTCTTTTAGTGTTACTATATATACAAGATCAATCTCTTTTTTCTTATGTCTATATCGACTTGTCTTTTTGCTAATTATTTATTTCTTTCCTAATTGCTCTTTCAGGTTATTGTGTCCGCAGGAACTGCAATCTTAATTGATAGGACGGGCAGAAGACCCCTCTTGCTGGTAAATTCAAACAATATAAACTACAAAACAAAACAAAATAAACTATAGCTTCTTCTAGGGAAAAAAAAAATTAAAATAACTCATTATTCATCCTCCTTATTCACCTTTTACGGTTCCCCTCAATGGAAATCAAAAGAAAAAAAAAATTAACTTTCTGAATTTAAGAAATTCTTTTTGTGCCAAATTTCAGATGTCCGCTTCTGGCTTGCTTCTTGGTAGTTTGCTTATTGCAATGTCCTTCTTTCTCAAGGTAAGTTTATGCACAAGGCACCATCCAACATTTAGCATGTTATGCATATGCTTCTTTAATCAAGCATTTATGGTTTCTGATTTGTTATTGTAATTAATTCTTTTTTTTTCTTCAGGCACATGAACTTGCAACCCATTTGGTACCTCATCTTGCAATAATTGGTGTTTTGGTAATTCTCTAAACTGAAAGACTAGTCTAACAGCTTTGCTACATAACTGGCTTTTCAATCACAACTATCAAATCTGCAGAATTCCACTATTGTTTTCTGAGCTTTTTATGTATAAAGGGAGCAATTTCAGAATTTGCAATATTCCTCAAGATTCCCACTTTCTAATTTTCTTCTTGCCAAGAACCGAAAATTTTAACTTATTCTACTTGTGTATGTACATTGTGTGCAGGTCTATATTGCCTTCTTTTCCATAGGGATGGGTGCAGGTCCATGGCTAATCATGAGTGAGGTGAAGTATATCATTCCCAAAATACTTATATGTCATTATTTATTTATTTATTTTTTTGTAAGATTTTCAAATTAAATTCATTCATATTCCTTTTTAACATTTTGGGTTCTTTCTTGTAGGTATTCACATTGCATATTAAAGGTCTGGGTGGTGGGCTAGTGACATTTATGAATTGGTTTGGGTCATGGCTGGTGTCTTACACTTTCAACTTCCTCATGTTATGGAGTTCATCCGGTAAGCCTAACTCATTATATTATCATCTAAATTTTTGGGCTTTATGCTTTTTGTAACCAAATATTTGCATTTTGATCTTCTTAAGATAAGAAAATCACAGAAAATTGTTCAAAAATAGCACAAAAATCCTTACACTTTTCCAGGAAATGTTTCTTTTTTCCTTCCCTCTTTCCTGGAATTGCCATTTGACACAAGTTTGTCTTTGGTTGTTTTTCAGGTACATTTCTCCTGTATGCATCCATGTGTCTGCTTGCCATAATATTCATATTTAAAATGATCCCCGAAACCAAAGGGCGAACCCTAGAAGAAATTCATGCTTCTTTGAGATCAAACTAGATTCAACTTACTCTCTCTCTCTCTCTGTCGCCCGGTCGAGTATCGAAGGAGAAGAAGAAGAAGAGATAGATGTTGTTTAGGAGCAATAGCATGCTTAAGATATTTTCCTATTTTGAAAAACCAAAGTTCTGACTAGGTTCTAGCTTATGCAAACAATTAGCCTAAGATCATTGAGTACGACATTTGTAATTTATTTCATGCTAGATGAAATTCATCCTTTCATTTTAATAATTTTTGTGCATCCTATATACGTATGTCTGCTTGTGTTTTTTTTCTTAAAGCTTTATGAGTCAAGTGGATTTTTTTTTTTTTAAACTACGAATGCAAATTAAAGAAAAGGGTTTAGAAAACTTTTGGAGATATAGTTATTTACATGTAATACGTGAAAAGGGCCAAATCTCTAATTACATGTTTAATTTGGCCGTCCAAGTGAAACAGTCTCTTCAGATATGATTTGGTTGAAAAAGAGAAGTGTTAAACTGCAAGATGTCCCTCGAACTATTCCAATTGATGACTTGGCCCCTAAACTATTAATCTTAGCAATATATTACCCTATCCTATCAATTTTTTTTTTTTTTGTAGAATTGTAATATCCTGTGGAAAAACACTAGGATGACAATTTAATTTGTCCCCTCTAAAAAATCTTAAAGTCTCTTTTTCCCCCAATTTCTTGGCTTGCCTCAATGCACTAGTCTCCTCTCTAATTAAATTGATATTTGTTACATGTTTTAAGATACCATACGACATACACCTATGTCTGTGTCTTTGATATCTTTTCTTTTTCTTTTTATTTGTGTTATGGGATTGGGTTAAGTGAGGGTCAAGAGAGGAGAAAGTTGAGGACCTTAAGGCTGGAATTTTAGAGGCAATCTAGTGCCCTTGTTAAGGAGAGAAGGAATGAGGTTGAATGGAAGCATCACTTTTTTATTTTCTCCGATTTCTATTTAATTTGCAAATTTCGCTTTTTCGAGGTTATTATAGTAACTTCACACCAATAATGGAGATAAATATAATTTTTTTATGAATAAATTTTATATACACTGTCAGTTAGAATATAACAATTTTGTATATCAGTATATGTAATATAATTGATATTATCAATTATACTAATAATTATATATGACTACTAATAGAAATTATTAATTACTTATACTAAATTTACTAATACATTTATACTAAATCCCTAATTACACTTAATACAATAACATTTTTTCTAAAAAAAAAAAGTACAAGCACAATAATGAATTAGTGATTGTATTTGTGCTAAAAGTGAAAACTTGGCTACTTTAGTTGTATTTATTTTATCATGTTAGATTGTATTCAAATAACTTTTGTTTGATTGTTTTTATAAGTTTCAATTATAAAATTACAATGAATAATAATTTGGTGATGTGTTGATATTTTAATACTTGATTATTTGTTAAAATTTAATTATAATAAATTTTTATTAGCCCCGCGAGAGCACTGGTGAGGGAAGCGGGGTGGGCAGGAGGAGCGGGGGGCGGGGGAAATTTGTAGGCAGCAGGATGGGGGGGGGGACCCCGTTGCCGTCCTTGTGCACAATGAGAAAGTTAGTCGATGAGCAAAGAGACAGTTTGATGGAAGAATCTTTGTGTTGGGGCCTGAATTAAACGTTCAAGTAAAACTGGAGAGGGTAGTCTTCACATCTAGGGATGGTTTCTCTGGCACTATTCCTGCTCTTGGCAATAAATTATATGCCCAAATAAAATTTGCTAAATAGTTGTATTAAATTGACAAGTACATGATATGATTAACAAGTTATACTACAAGACGAAACATAAAGCTAGATCTAAAAACCCAGTGGATCAATGCAATTAAAATGTAAGATAATTGCTCAATTAGTGAAAGACTTCCGACTATTTTTAACTCTATTCTTACACTTGATCAGGATGTTTTAGTTCTTGGTTTTTCGAGCTCTTGTATGATTAGTTGTGTGGTTTCAGATCCCAGTTGAGATATTCACTTAAACTAACCAGGCAGGTTGAGATTAGGAGGCTTTCTAAATTGAAGAGGAGTTTAAGGACAATAATCATACATCAATGATTTGTTTTCTTGTTTTTGCAATGGTGGGCTATTGTTTCATTTTCTCAAGTTACTTTGTCCATCTATAACTGGACTTCTCTTTCTACTTTCAGAAAATCTTTCTCAAATATGTAGAAAGACCTTCGTTATATCCATCATTACGGAAAACCATGATTGCTGACATTAATTTCACTTCATAAAATAAGATCAAGTTTAGACTTTTATATAATTTTCACTGTCCAGTTTGCTCTTTCTATTAAAAAGTTTCATTAATCCCGTAATTGTGTTTGTTTGATTGGTATATAACATTAATCCACTTTTAATCAAATAATTTTCGTTCTTGAATGCGTTTACTTTTTGAATTTCCCTACAACTTTGCTCAAAGAAAATAGGGTTAATTCCACTTGGACCCCTCAAACTATGCCCTGAATCCCACTTAACTCTCTAAACTTTAAAATGGGACACTTAAGTGCCTAAACAAAAAATACCGTCTCACTTAAGGAAATATTTTGACAAAATCTGGGGTGTCGTCAGTTTTCCTAGAGCATGCAAACACGCTCTGTTAACCGAAGGGCATGGATGAAATTTTCCAAAAAAAAGGAAAATAAAATGAGCCAAGAGAGGGAAAGTTTCCCGCCATATGACTAATACCCGTGTTGTGTTTACATGACCCGATTTAAATCCATATCATAAAAAGGGTCGGATGTGCCCTAATCAAAATGAGAACAAATTGGGACTCATCAAAGGGGAGGGGAAGAACGAAGAAAGAAGAAAAAGAAGCACGCTACGGCAAAATAAGGGCAGATGGTCAGGGAAACTTGTAATTGTGGAAGACAAACACTACTGATGACATCATGGACAGACAAACCCAGGAAGTCGATTTGTGCGATGTCCTCAGTATAAGGTAATGAACAAGATGTTCTTGTAATTTGGCTTACTGTTGGAATTTAGGTGGTTTTGTGATTTGTTCGATGGTATTGTGGTATGAAAATAGGAATCGGGAGGCTGTAAATATTGGGACTGGGTTGATCTTGAGATGTGTCAAAGGTCTAAAGAAATAATACCTGGACTGTTACGGTCCAAGAACAAGATTGCAGCTGAGGTCGAGAAGTGGAAGGAGATGGCCAAGGTACAGCAAGGAAATGCGAGGAGGTTGAAGATGTACCTGATGCTTCATTGGGGTGTCATTCTCCTGTGGCTGTTTTTCTTCAAATATGGGGCAAAAGGTTAAAATGAAGTTGGAGAAGAAGCTGCCCTATGATGTGGGAAATTATTATTTTTGCCTAATGCTGGGATCAAAGGTCATTAGGGGGTAGGTTATCCAAGTTTCGTAGTTGTGGGTATTCGGAATAGGTTGTGTAGTGAACTATGTACATAAGTTGGTTCTGGTGTTGATACTGCAATACTGCAAATGGATGAGTGTTTTTGCTGGTTATGTAATTTGTAGTATCAGCTTTTACTTTTGGATGTAATGCATTATTAGTGGAGCCTAAGTGTACCCTTGTACCAACCTGGGATTTAAGTGTCCCTAACAAGTAAAATTGATGTATTTAAATGATCCTTTTAGAAGTCTATTTATAACTGAAGTGTGTCTCAGCATTTATATACAATAGTTCCTGTAAATTGTCCCCTATTGTCCCCTGTTATCAAGTTCATTATAACATGGTACCAACCAGGGCATTTCGTAGAGAAAAAGGCAAGCTTAGCCTTACATGAATAAAAAAGAGTAAGCTGTTACTACTAAAAATTGTTACTATTTACAAATATAGAGCAAGTTGTTGTTAGTACTATCAAAAACTGCTCATCGTTAAGCGCCAGTAGGAAATTCCAAAAGTAATTCCCTAACACCAAAAGCAATATGTTAATTCCCTAACGCCAAAAGCAGCCCTATTGGTTCTTGGCATTTAAATTCCCTAAACTAGCATGTTGGTTCCCATCTCCATGGAGCTGCACATTGTCAATGCCGGTTGAATGCTTGTGGTGGCCTGCAACCCTCTGTAACGTAGATAAGTTAATGCACATATTACCCCTCCACGTGAATGGTGCTGGCGATAGTCCTCGTGCAAGGTGAAAATTTGCAGATAAGTCCTCTGTGTATCTCTCATCTAGGTATGATTCTGGATCTTTCATTGTTACTTCGAGACCGTGGGAATAAACTATACCTGCAGCATTGGAGTTCAACTGCATTCATTAAACAATAACAAATGAATAAGAAAGTGATTGGTCAAAGTAGCAATAAATTTAAGATTGTATTCAGCCACTTGACTTACGTGTATACTACCAGCAGCCTCCTTCTCAATCACACCAATATTGGCACCTTCTGTATATGGGTTAGAGGGCTCATCACCTGTGTGAGTAGCCCTTTTCAAGCCAAGTTCTCCTGTCATATCAAGCGAGTTTCTAAATGTCCATTGTCGATATTTGCAATTGTTTTTTTACTGTGGCCATATTTATGACAAAATGAGCATTTTCTGGCTTTTTTGATAACTGGTTGTCCTTCAGCACCAGTTGGTTGATTGGATGGCTCATCTTGAGGCATACTTGATATGCTCTCTTGGGTATTCAGCATACCCACATCAGCAGCTAACCCACTCTTAGATGGCTCTTGAGCACTTGAATAGTTGTTAGAAGGAAAGCCAGATTGGAGTTCATCTCTTGCAGCACCATGTGCCATACTAGGCATCCCATTTTGTGTAGTAACAGGTTGCTGGGCAGCACCTATTTCATTGGCAGATTTCTTATTAGTTGGGCAGCTTCTCTTATTGTGGTCACACTTCTTGCACAAACTACAGCTCATCTTAATGCCAACCTTGCTCACTTTGTGAGGTTTATTTGGATTGACACATGATTTAGAAGTTACTGCCTCTTCACCTGGACCCTTTTCTTCTCATTTTCTTGGGTCTACCAGGTGATCTTCCAAAGTTTGGAGGCTTCATTGGAGGTAAATTAATGTGCTCCCACAAATTTAGGCCATTGATAGGATTTAGTACGGGCTCATAACTTGCCACATAAATAGTCTTCAAATATGTGTGAGATACATGTTACTCAGGTTGCTCATGCCTTCTATTAATGCATGCAGCAGCATGACCACAAGGAATTCCTCTCAGTTGCCACTTGCGACAGTTACAAGTTTTGCCAGCCATATCAACAACAAATTGCTCACCAAAGGGACAAGATACTCGGTACCTATTTGTCCCCGCATAAGAGGCAATACACGTGCTTTGATCCCTTTTTGCTTTCTCAAGTATCTCAAAATTCTCGGACAAAGGAGACCTACAGCAGCAAAATATATTTTGTTAATTTCAACTGTAGTTATAAATAAGGGCAGCTAACAATCATTGCATTAACACATCAACAAAGATGACAACAAGGTACTTAACCTTCATGTTTAGCCATTGCCTCCCTATTTATCTCATTCTCCTCAATAAATATAGGTAAATGGTCTGCAGCATGCCTATTACGGGCAGTGATCTAGCTTTTAGTAGCACAGCATTGAAGGACTCACACATGTTGTTAACCAGAATGTCACAGTCCATACCAGCCCTAAAATGAGATCTTGACCATGTTTTAGGGTCTTTGTCAGCCAGCCATTGATGTGCAAGTTCGGATTGTTGCCTAAGCAACTCCATTTCACGTATGAACTGGTTCATATATGATGCCCTTGCACATCTCCACAACCTATCTTTTAGTGCTAAGCCCCTATGATTGAGTTTGAAGTTGGAGTACAAATGTTGAGCACAACACCTATGTTCAGCCTCCGGGAGTTTGTCTCTAACTGCTTGGACCAGTCCCTATACCAATCCAAGTCAAAAGCAGATAGTTAGTTACAATATGACAAGAAGGTTTAATAGCTAATTAATAAGTCTAGGATGCTAATTTCAGTTTTCATTTACCTTTTGTTTATCAGTCATTATGCACCAATTCTTTGAATTTGAAATTCTCAAGTCCTAGACAAGTAATCCCAAAAACCAACTCTAGTTATCATAATTTTCCACTCCTACCACTGCTATTGCCAAAGGATACATTTTATTATCCGCATCCATGCCGACGGTTGTCAAAAGTTGTCCACCGTAAGGACCCTTTAAGAAGCACCCATCCATTCCAATCCAACATCTACATCCTGCTAAATATCCCCGTTTCAATGGCTCTAGACACATATACAACCTCTTGAATCTAGAAATTCCTTCATCATCAACCTCAGTCTCTACAAAGACAGTAGACCCTGGATTTGCTTTTCTCAATTCTCCACAAAAGTCTTCTAGCAATTCATACTGTTTCTCATGGGACCCTTCAATTGCAGCTCTAACTTTTTGAAGTGTCCTGTATCCTTTTTTTAAGGAAAAATCTAATTTGAGCTCTTCAGTTACTTTGGTAAGTAGCTCATGTACATTCATTGAAGGTGTCTTTCTCACCTTATCTAGAAACAATTTATTGGCCAACCTTGAGGTCATATTCTTGTTATGGAATACTCTACCGCAACTATGTTCATCACTCAGTGTTTTAATTTGAAAAGTGCTCTCATCTTGCATTTTTTAGCCAAAAAGCTCGCACCCACAGCCTCTACATTTCACTCGCACCCTGTTTGTGTCATTCTTGGTGAAGTAAACATCCCTCTCATCCATAATTGCTTGTATTCTGACTACCAATCTGAAGATAACCACTGATGTGAATTGCTGGCCAACAGTAAATTTAGCACTTTTCATTTCAGTTTTGTCATTGAAAACTAGAAACTTAGGCCGCTTATTTCTACGGAGCCCAGATTCTTCATTTGAGTCACTTTCACTCTTCAACTCTGCAGAAGCATCTAATTCATATTCTGATTGCATGCCATCAATATTTATCACATCAGCATCCTCACAAGCATTGACTTTGATTGCCTTTTCTTTTTTTTCTGCCTACTTTCTTCCTTGTTTTCACATTTGGGTTAGAAGGCTCGGCTTTGTTTTTTGTGGGGTTATAGCTGGGATGAATGCATAAATGTAATTTTTCCATTGCCTCCTTGGGCTGATCATCACTTGGATTGTAATTTTTGCTTCCTCTAGCAGGTTGCACTTCACTATCTTTGCTACTGTCATTTCCCTTCTCAGCATTCACTCCAACTTCATTGATGTCATGTTTCTCCACTGGTTCCCCTTCCACTTCATTGCTGTTGTCAGCTCTCGACTCTCCAAAGGCGGCTTTTTCTTTCTGTCATTTAATCTTTTGCTACTTCATCATCAGGTCCCCAATCTTCTAATATCATAATGTCACTATTGCTCTCATGTGTGGTTTCATCTTCCCTATGTTGATTTGCCTTAGCTTCATCGTATGCCTGCTGGGTGTGAGGCATCTGTTTCATTGCTCCAGGTACAACCTTTAGATACACCTCTGCGACTCTATTATTTGGTAATGTATTCACCATTACCTCGCAATCTCTATCACACAAGCAATAAAACAGCCCTGTGTCCAAAGGCATCCCTGCTAATCTACAGTGCCATAAAAATTCTGAGTCTTTTGGGTATCCAAGTTTCCACCCACATTTATCCAACATTACTAGGGACCACTCGTCTAGGTTGCAGCCGTCTATATAATCCACCTACCCTCCTAAGTATTGCATATTGGGAGGATCTGTGAAGTCGCCTTGATGGTGTATTTTCAAAGTGAATGGTTGACCGAAAATCGCTCCATTACCACCATCTATTATCAAAAGCAAGAATTTTTTAATCAGAAAAATAAATTTAAAAATACTCCAGTTGTACGATTAGGACCCTAATATCTTCAATGGAGGAGCATTAGGATTCCAATGAATGAGCATTGAGGTTCCAACATCACAAATTTTCAGATCATTTTTGAAATAAAAAATTTTCAAGTAAGTACATTACATATTTAAATATTTTCACAGACCCTAATTTTTCACTAATCCCTAACTTCATCAGCCTATTTATCATTTTTCTATCTCAATACAAATCCCGACCCATCAACATATTCCAATTGCAAACCACCAAATAGTATTAAATTGAAATTTTGAATGTTCTTACCAGTTTCCATCTTCACATTCCCTTTCTTTGCCTTCAATGCAGATGCCTTTCGATGCCCTGTCTTCCTTCCCATGTCACCAACCATGAATCCCGATCAATGGTAGATTTTTGTTTTGTTTTGTTTTGTTTTTTTTTGCTTTTCCTATTCCTATCCTTCCTGTTCTGTTCGTCCCCTTTCAGACGGATGTAGCAAAGCAAATGGAGTTTCTTCATTCAATCTACTAGTATTTACAGGTGAATTTACCTTCATGTCCTCGCCTTTTTCAGTCACTTGTCTCGGTTAACAGAGTGCGTGTTTGCACGCTCTAGGAAAACTGACGACACCCCAGATTTTGTCAAAATATTTCCTTAAGTGAGATGGTATTTTTTGTTTAGGGACTTAAGTGTCCCATTTTGAAGTTTAGGGAGTTAAGTGGGATTCAAGGTATAGTTTGAGGGGTCCAAGTGAAATTAACCCAAGAAAATTGTTTGTCTTCTTCTTTTGGTTGCTTTTGCATCACCCCCTTACAATTTATGGAAGCGTTTGAGAAAACTAAAATTTTATCACTTATTTTGTGGAGCAAATTTTGCCTAGAAAATTCATTATCAGTTAATTAATTCAGATGTCTATTTTCTATTATGAAACACATCTAAATGTATTAAAATCTAAATTTATTAAATTTAAGTGTTGAATTGGTTATCGAATAGGGCCTTACTCTTGTATAGATATTTCAAGCGTTTATCCGATATGGCAAGTTGCAACTACACGAACAATGGTCAACAAGAAATAAAACAATAAGATGGCTATGCATCTCTTACGGCCAAATTAAAAAACTCAAGAGAGAAAGGTTTAACAGGAAAGAAAACAAATCAAGCAGGAAATGATTCTGATATCGACAAGGATGAATAAATTTATAACAATATTAAAAGAGCCTGAGAAATTCAATATCTTAAGGTGCTTTATGACTCGGAAATTTTCAGCACAATATTTATTGTTCCTGTGGTTTTGCAACCAAGTTCCTTGATTTGCAAATTCTTGACTTCTTTTATGAAAGCCATCTGCAGAACTTCCAGTTATCTAAGTATTGATGAAGAACAAGAGCAGCATATTTTCTAGGGGATAATAGAAACTTTCATGTACTTCAAAAATCAAAACATTTAAGGGAAAAAGAAAAAATTGTTCAAAGCTGGAAACAAACAATAGCAAGTCATTAATGTGACTGAGAAACGTAGACAAAATGCATATAATAACTGACACTATGGTTGAATTCAAATGCATCTCTTCATTTAGATCATGTTGCAAAAGTTAATGTGGAAAGGACACTGCAACAAACGAGTGCGAAAATGATTAAAAAGCAGCCCCTAGCAGAACCCACAAAAGTTCCAACTTCAAATAGATTATCTATATCTGTGAAAAATACTCATCAGAGTGTGCATCACAAATCTACGTAATGTGAAACATAAAGTTAAAACAGAAGCAGAACATGATCTGATAAATAAATCATATGTACGAAAAGGCCATATGGAATCTTCTCAGAGCGTATATGTGAAAACCATGTGGAATCAAAAGGAAGACACCACAGAATTGGATGATGAAACTTGCGAAAGCCTAGGCCTGGATTCTTCTTCCATCTATATAAATATGAGGAATATGGGAAATCCTGGACCACTGGGAGTCAGGGCCAATTTGAGGGGTGCATCTTTCCTCTAGCAAGGGACAGAACAGGATTGACAGGCTGTTCAATTTGCTAAGGTCTCGCATAGAAGGTAAAAAGCGCAGCTTTTCACAAAAATGTAGAGACAGTGCTTCGAGAGACGCAAGGTTCCCAATCCAATGTGGCAAAGCATCTATAGAAAAATTATGTATCTGTAGCTCCGTTAGGGCAGTGAGATGCTGAAGTTGACAGGGCAGAGCATCCCAATGAGGCCAGCCATATAAAGTTAGTTCCCGGAGGGACGAGGACAGTAAATGAAGGCCATTGAAGATGATTTGAAATGGATCAAAATCCATAGAATTCGAAAATGGACCAATCTGTAGTTCACTTAATCTGCTAAGACAGCAAAGCCCCTCAGGCAAACTGGTCAATTTCGGACATTTGAATACTTCCAAGGATGAGAGAGCAGACATATGGTGCAAATTAACTGGAAATGATGCAAGATTGCGGCAGTAATTCACCCACAAGGACTCAAGGCAGGTACATGAGTCAAGCATTTCACCAGGCAGACAGGTTAATCCTCCACAGTTGTATATCCTCAGATGCCGAAGGGACTTAAGACCTTCCTGTCCGTTTGGAGTTGGAAAGGACTTGAGTTTGGGGCATGAGTCTATCTCCAGTCTTTCAAGAGATTTGAGGCTATACAAATCATTAGGAAGTTCCATAAGATTATCACAATTGCATATCTGAAACTCACGAAGACAAGCAGCAAAGCCCCATTCAGGAACAATATGAGTTAAATCAGGACAGTGCTTCAACTTCAGAAATTCAAGATTCTGATTGTTATGTGATAGCACATCCGGAAGAGAAGTGAGATGACACACACGTTCAATATCTAGACTTGTGAGAGTCTTCACTTCACTGCAAACTTTTGTTACTGGTAAGCCATGGTTAACATGCTTGATCTCTAATTTTTTAAGATGAGAGAAATGGCTGGGAGCAGTGGTCAATCGGGTACAATACCTTATCTTCAACTCTTCAAGGGAGGGAAACACTTCCATATTACCTGCTGCTGACGCAACATCAGCCTCCATCCACTCTGTAAGGTTGGGCATATTGTCTAGGATCAGAGCCTTGAGTGCTGGAAATAACTTTGTTCTTCCTTGACCACCCACAGAAGCACCATTGTTGTAGAATGAAGATCTAATGCTTGTTATCTCATGTAGTCCATCTAGTACAAGACGCTCAAGAAATGGCAGATGCCCAAATGTTGGGATTTCCTGCAAGTTTCTGCAGTGCAACAATTTGACCTCCATCAAATTTTTGAGTCTCAGGAATGAATTATCAATACAAACTTCCATTCTCATAACCCATGAAGGTAACCGATCTCCCATAAAATCTCGGATTGTCAAGCTTTTCAAATTTGGGTGAGGCTGGAGACCTTTCAGCACATTCTTGTCATTCATAGCACCATTCCTGTCCCAACTCCACTCGAATTCCAACTTGTATAGATTTGGCTTTCCAAACAAATCTGCCCTTTGGGCTGCTTCTTTGTCTTTGACTCTCTCAAGATTGCGGATAACCAGCCTACCAGAAAGGTTTTTTAGAAATCCCAATTCTTCAATCTGACGACCCTTATCACGACCAACATTGAAGAATCTTAATGTTTGAAGACAAGTAAGTTGCCCTATTTTAGGTGGCATTTCGAACTTGGAATCAAATGTAGAAAAATCAAAATGCCTCAGGCTTATCAAATTCCTGAACTTATCGGGAAGCTCTCTTAGATAATAGCACTCCTTG